TATATATATCATGTCTATGATGAAATTTTAAAAATGCCTTTGCATACATATCAATTCTGAGACATGAAATTCTTAATTTTTAATCGAGATAGAAACAAAAAAAAACAGCCTTGGTATGTTTATTTATTTATTTATATTTTATTTTATTTTATTTTGTATTTTTTTAACCTTTTTTTTTTGTCTTTATTTATATAATAATTTGTTATTGTTGGTGTCGTCGTTTTCTATTGCTTTTGGAACTCTTGAGCAACGAACTTATTCTTTTATCAATCACAAGCAATAATCGAAAAATGTGAGTTTTTTGTAATGATAAAAAATTTTTTTTCTCGCCTTCACGCTTGAACAATGCGAATATAATTTATTAACCAGCAGTCTTTAAATTTTAAGAAATTAAAATCTTGCTAGAAATCCAAAAGAAGTATAAATTAAGCGAAATCGAACGTACTGTACATGCTAACCTGAATCCGTCGGCATACTCAAGATTATATAGATGTATTTTGTGTAGTTAGATATTTATTTCACGAATCTGAATTTTTACGAATCTGAATTTTTACGAAGTGGTGTTTAATATTATGAAACAACGTTTACCGGTAGTTTTTTTTTTAATAGCGCATAACGATTGTTTTTTTTTTAATAGCGCATAACGATTGTTCTTTTAGAAACATTTAGCGGTTATTATTTTATTCATTAAATAATAGAATTTCAAATAAAAAGAAGCATTTGTTATTATTTTAAATCATAGCATTCTCAAGTATATAGTGAATTTCGTTTGTTACGATTATTTTTCCGTTATTATCGTTATGATCTCAGATACCGTAAATTCATTACGTATCAATATGTTTGTATCACAAAAAAGTTCAGATATTTGATGTGCGTAGATCACGATAAATTTCTTTGTGATAAATTATTTCGCAAAAAAAAAAAATTAATAATGGTAAAATCTTATTTAAGATACGAGCCTTGGAAGACGTTTGGTGTCATAAATAGCACTACCTCAAATGTCATTTGCTCAGGGGACGGTAAATTTGCTGTCGCTCCAGCATTAGAAGAAGTTGCTTTGTGGGATTTAAAAAAAGGAATTTTGGTTAGTAGTTTTTATTAGCATTTTTTGGTAGCACGTTTAATTATTACTTTGCATTAGTAAGTTTTAAAGATCATTTTCAGTTATAATTATGTTATATATTCTCTTAGAAACGAAAATGGCTTGACATTAATAATAAAGCAGAAGTAACCGCTATAGTAAAAAATCCAAAAAATGACGATTATGCTGTTGGGCAGGTATTTTGTAATATTTTTCAAAATATTATCTGTAATATACGTTAAAAATATTAATTACTTATCGCATTTTTAGTTATGCTGATGGATCAATTCGCATATGGACCATTGAAAAACCAACTTTCTCCCTTGTTTTCAATGGTCACCGAGGTGCTGTAACATCTTTGACATTCGATAAATCTGGTGTAAGATTAGCTTCAGGATCAAAAGACACTGATATAATTATTTGGGATGTTGTCGGTGAAGTGGGTCTCTTTCGGTAAGATATTTAACAAACTCTTGACAGCTATAAACCATAAACTGATTTACTTCATTTCATATTCTTATTTCAGAATGCGAGGTCATAAAGATCAAATTACGGCAATTCGATTTCTCTGTAAACCATTATCGGGTGGTGTTATCTCTGAAAACACAACTCAAGATTACCTTCTTTCATCTTCAAAAGATACACTTCTCAAATTGTGGGATTTAAGTACTCAACATTGCATGGAGACTGTAGTTGCTCATCGTAGTGAAATATGGGATTTTGATGTTTCAAAGGATGAAACTTTAATTGTGACTGGAAGTTCGGATCCAGAAATAAAATTATGGACAATTGATCACGATGTATTAGCTCAAGGACTTGAATCTGAAAGTACTGAGGTAATTATTAAAATATATATTAACTACATAATTTTTTTTTCTTTTTAAACTAATATACTGAATTTAATTATTTGAATTTAATTATCGGGAAATTAGATAAAAAAAGTAATCAATCTCTATGGGAATATAAAAAAAGAATGCAAAGAACGTGTTATTACACTCAAGTTTCACCCAACAGCCAATATATTAGGTGTCCAAGGTCCTGAGAAATATGTAGAAATTTATCGTATTTACTCGTACGAAGAGATAAAGAAGAAATTGATCCGTCGTAAAAAACGGCAGAAAGAAAAGAAGCAAAAGGTTGATGATTCTAATATGGATATTGATAGTGACTTGGTGGAAATTAGTGCTAGTGACATGATAACACCTTATCGAATGGTCCGAACTTCTTCAAAAATACGGTCTTTCGATTTTTCCACCAAAGATGATATTACTAAATCTGGCTCGATAGAGGTAAGTCAAATTGTCGCGGTTGAAGCTGGAATATAAAATCCACTTACGGTATACTCGTTTATTATAAACTTTAAGTCTTAAAATTTCATATTAAAACAAATCCAATTTCAGCTGCGATATCAATTTTTATAATAGTCTTAATTACTCGTAATTCACATCAAGAATACTTATGAATTAATACTTATGAATTTTTAGATACTTGTGTCTTTGACAAACAATACACTCGAACTTTACACAATGGGTCTTCCCATGAAGAAAAAAGAAAAATTTCTAGAAACCGCTGAGCCATCAAAGCTATATTCTGTTGACCTTCCCGGCCATCGTAGTGATATCAGAACTTTAGCGCTAAGCTCAGACAATGAATTATTATGTTCCGCATCAAGAAGCAATCTTAAGATTTGGAATATGAGAACTACTTCATGTCTTCAAACAATTGATTGTGGATACGCATTATGTAGTTCGTTCTTACCAAGTGACCGAAATGTGAGTTACTAGACTTATTAAATACCTAATACTATATTTGAGATCGTATTTGACCATCATGATTATATAGGTCATAATTGGTACAAAATCTGGGGATTTGGAACTTTTTGATCTCGCTTCTTCATCTCAAACAGAATCAATTAAAGCACATGATGGTCCAATATGGTCTTTACAAGTTCGGCCAGACAAACGTGGATTGATGACAGGTAGTACTGACTCTAATGTAAAATTTTGGGACTTTGACATGTCTCAAGAAGACGGTACTAATGAAAATCAGGTTTGTATACTATAAGTTTTCTTTCAAATACTATATTTGATATTTGTTTGACACAAAATATATAATTTTCAATTGGTTTAATTTTTTTTTTTGGTCATAGACGGGACCTCGTCGTTTAACTTTAATTCATACGCGAACACTAAAGATGAACGACGACATCTTATGTGTACGATATAGTCCTAATCAGAAATTGGTTGCCGTAGCATTATTAGACGGGACTGTCAAAATATTTTACAGCGATACTTTAAAATTTTTCTTGTCTTTATATGGCCACAAGGTAATTTAATATTATTACTACATATTAGTTTTAATTTAAATATTTTATCATCTCATTGTAATCATTATTATTTTTTTGTTTTTTTTATTGTAGTTGCCCGTGTTAACAATGGATATATCTTCAGATAATAAATTATTAGCCACCGGTTCGGCTGATAAAAATATTAAAATATGGGGTCTCGATTTTGGAGATTGTCACAAGTCAATATTCGCTCATCAAGATAGTATTACGTGTGTTCAATTTGTTCAGGGTACACATTATATTTTCTCAGCAGGAAAAGATAAATTGGTGAAATATTGGGACGGTGACAAGGTCAGTTATAAGACTTGTTGTAGGGGACTTGTAGGACTTATTGTAGAGAATAATTATTATAAATAATAATTGCTGTAAATAACACTAGTTTATAAATTACAAATCTTTAGTTTGAAAATATTACAAAACTTGAAGGACATCACGGTGAAGTATGGGCATTGGCAATAAGTAGACGAGGTGATTTACTTGTTTCTGGTTCTCATGATAGATCCATTAGAGCATGGGAACAAACTGATGAAGAGGTAATTTAGCATCAAATGTACTAACTTGATTTTCTAATTAGTTAATTAATAATGTATTTACTAATAATAATTATTATTAATGTTATTAATAATAATAATATTATTATTATTAATGTCAGCTTTTTTTGGAAGAAGAGCGAGAGAAAGAGTTGGAGGAATTATATGACTCGACCTTGACAACTTCAATGGAAAAGGCGACACTTGAAGACAATGTTGAGTCAACTTCCGCTGGAAAACAAACTATGGAAACACTCAAGGCTGGAGAACGTATCATAGAAGCATTAGATATCGCTGACGAAAATAATGCGGCTTGGGAAACTTATGTTCAGGTTATTTGCATAGCCAAATTTTAGAGACGTTGAGCTTTTTTTTTTCAAAGTTTATAAATGCTTATAAAAAAAGTTTTGTTTTTTAAACACAGCTTAAAGAGCGAGGACAAAATCCTGGGCCACCACCTAAACCTAATCCTATTTTGGTTGCACTTGGCAATTTAACTGGGGATCAATATGTTCTCAGAACTATTGAAAAAATAAGGTCTTCAGAATTAGAGGAGGCATTATTGGTTTTACCATTTACTAAAGTGATTTCTTTATTCCAATATCTGGATTTGTGGGCTAAAAAGGTAACTACAGTATCATCTTTTTTTAAATTATTTTTAAATTATTTATATTATTTACACAACTATAACAACTATACTTTTTATTTTGTAGGAATGGAATGTGGTATTGACGTGTCGAATAACATTTCATCTTCTTAAAGTTCATCATGACCAAATAGTTGCAAATCGACTTATTAAACCAAGGTTGAATTCTTTGAAAACACATATACGGGCCGCGTTAAAACGGCATAAGGTTAGAATTCAAATTTATTATTGATGTTATTGTTAATGTAAATGGTTTGTATGTACTAATCACATTTTCTTCGTTAGGATTTGTTGGGATATAACTTGGCTGCACTTAAATATATTAAACGTGATTGGGAAAGCAATAATACTGCAGAGTTCTTTGATGATATACCTAAGAACGAAGAAATGAATTCTGGGTCACTAACAAAACGAAAATTTATAAACTTGACAGTATGATATTTGTATTAGAAATTTATGAAATTACCATTTGTATAAAAAAAAGTTTCCTAGAATAGTTATTGACAAGTTATTATTATATTATAATAAATTATTAATTGCCAAATATATAGTATAAATAGTATGGTGTCACAAATTGCGAATATTATATCAAAATATCAGAATAATTTGACATTATAAATATTTTCTAGTAATGAACCGAATTTTAGAATCAAATGCCATTGATGTGATTGGGGTGTTAAGTTCATAGAATGGATTCATTAACGTCTTTTCAAACAGATATTTAAATTTTTAGATATTAATTATTTGTTATAATGAATTTTTTTAAAAAAGGACAATTAAGATATTGTAAATATATATATATATATATATATATTCAACATACCTTAATATAGAGTTCGTAGCATTCGTTAAAAAAATTTCGAATTCCCTCTTCGTTTTTTGTTTCATGTAATAGCATAAATTTGATATCTTTAAAGGATCAAGGTATAATTATAAACTTTGGGACTTTATTATAATTTTCATATTTTTGAGTTCAAAAGGATACTCCCGGCTGTAACAAAGGCTGATACGTGCCAATCATTAAATTTATCAACAGATTTCAGGTACCTATATTTATGTGAAGAATATGAATACACAATTTTTTTTTTTATTATTATCTAAAGATTTTTAAACTTGAAATGAACAAATCGTACATAGCATTAGAGTGCCATTGTAGCTCTTCTACAAGATCTAAGGCAGAATGTACAATAAATTGATTTAAATGTCGATGTTCGTCTTTCTTTATAAGGTTTTTATAAAGATAGTTAATATCGTTTCTTTATCAAAAAGAATTAATTTATTAAAATAATTACCCTTGAGCTCGGATCAAGTCCAGCACTTTTTGCACCCGAGACATTAACTTCTAATTCGTAAATTGGATTATCTTTTGTGCCTACTATTGCAAAATAATAATAAGTCATTTTTGAAAAACTACAGGATAATCTGTCACAGGTTCGAAACTATATTATTCAACACGTGATTTATTAACTTTTATTGGCCGATCAGAGGAAAAATCAACAAATATATATAAAAATGTAAATAATCGAACAAGAACATCACGTAACTCTAACGACTGTTAAAGTTTTAAATATTTTCCGTAAGAAATAATTATTCCTTAAAAAATGTTTGGTAAATAAAATTGGCACATATCCAACTAAAAAAAAATAAAATATATATATTAGACTTGCATGTTTTATGAGATGACCCCGGAGTCAAGACGCGTTCCAGTCGAGGGCCATAGCCTTCTATCAAATCTTGTTCTGGGAGCAAGAGTTAGCGTGGTTGGAGTAATAAAGTCGTATTCACCTCCAAGAAGAAGTAAGGGTACAGGTAAAAACACGCGTTATCTATATATACTTTAAAAAATATATTATATATTATGTATTATATATTATATATACTATACAAATCAATTATTCTATTCAGATTGGTTATGCTCGATTCAAATAACGGACCCTTCACTGAATGGCAAAGTAACAGTCATCATATTTCGTGCACAATACAAGGAATTACCGGAAGCGAGTGTTGGTAGCATTTTTGTAGGAACTGGACTTAAGGTATATAAATTTTCAGCTTCATAGCTAAAATAAATCTAATGTTATTTTTTCCTAAGTCGATTTTTATTTATTTTATTTTATTTTTTTTTGATTCAAAGGTCAATCAATACATGAATTCACCACAACTTATCGCTTATAAATTTGAATCTGCCTGTACAATAATAAATGATGACGACTTCAAGGGGAATAAAATCTCTAACATAATGCACGATAGAGTTACCGAGATCAGGGCTTATTCGGAACGCTTACGAAGTTGGTGGAGCAATCTACAGATTATTTACGCTGGAGAAGAATCACGTAAATTAATTACGATTGCCGATATTCGTGGACCGAATATGTTTTTCGATACCATTGCTGAGGTAAATTCCATCAACCAAAATTTCAATAATCTATATTATAAAAATTTAGATGTTCGATCCGCCTAGCATCACATGATTTTGTATCACACTACCCGCTGTTTAACAACGGGTCGAAACACCTAGTAGTATTACAATAATGCACACATCCTCTTGTTATAAATATTTAGATTGTGGAAGTACATAGATTTGAATCTACAACGGACTTATATATTACGGATTATACTCGTAATGGGTTGTTATCTAACAACAGTTTTACTTGGAAACTACCAAATGGACTCGACGCGTGTGATATATTCCCCATTTCTTTATGGGACGAACATATAACTGCTAGCAAGAACTTTCAGGCCGGCATGTATGTGTATTTACAGAATATACAAACCAAGTACAATAGATTTAATCATTTTCAGGGAGTTATACATGGTGATCCAGAAACACGAAGAACGCGAGTCATACAAATGGAACCGAGCTCATCAGGTGTAATGGAATTGTTAAAGTATTTGTCAAATTAATTTATAATGCGTTAATTTATAATATATTTAATAATATATTTACTGTAATTATAATTTTTCTTTTTTTTTTCAGGAGAAAGAAATTATATAGCCAAAATTATAGTAAATTTGCAAATTTTTCAAACCAAGGTTTTGTTGAAGATTCATATATTGTTCCAACAATTACTCGTAAATGTCAAGATTATTTTCAATTAGCATCAACACATTCAATATTACTGTATTATGATTCATAAATTATTATATTGATCGAATTTTTTAATTATAGGTATTGTTGGCTGCGACGCAGAATCCATGTCTATTTATGATATCAAAAAAGTTGATGTGTGCATTACTGTTTATTTATTCTTATTCTTATGAATTTATAATGAATATAATTTAACAAATTTATTGTTCTTTGGTATAGGAAGTACCTCGTAAATTTCTTACCCGTGGACGTATTGTTGAGTCCGTTCCTGATTTTGAACGTCTTATACGACCATTTTGCGCTACCTGCGATGAAGTGTGGGTATTACAATTTATGTAATAAATAGTTATCTTGATGAATGATGGTTTTATACAGTAACACTTGGATATTTTAGGATGTTTCCTGAATTTGAGAATACAAGCCTCTATGATTGTCCACATGATCTCACGTTTGTGTATGATTTTTTATTAATGTTTGAAGATAAATATGGTGACACCCTTCCCGTAGTAGTCTCTGGGAATGAAGCAGTAAGTTTCAAATTTAGATCGTACTTTGCTGATTAACAACACCTGAATGTTACAATTCATTCTTATTTTACCTTTCTTTATCTAAGGTCAGATTTCTAAAAGGACTGCGACCAACCAGGTATGTTACAAAATTTTTTTGTTACTACGCGTTGTATTTACATAAAATTATCTTTTAATCGGTAATTATGCATCGAAATTAGTGTCATGCTAAATGAAAACGCAAGACAAACATTTCAAAACTTAATTAGAAAGTTATTAGCAGGTGTTATAGAACATGGTCAACCCACAGAATTTTTTGATTTCTGTGTTGAATCTTATTATCCACATCATGGTGAAAAACTATATAGATTAACTAACACTATATTGGAGATCTAAAATGTTAAAATAACAATGTTTATATGTATAAAGCATTAATGATATATAGTTGGTTAGATCATATTTTGTATAAAATAAACTTTTTTTTTTTTTTTGGAGATTAGAGCTACAATCCATAACGATAACGTCTATATTCATTAAAAAAGTTCTATATTTAATAAAAGGCAAGTTCTATTTGAACACTAGTGTATGGAACACGGGATATAAAAAGCCAATCAGATTCTTTAAAAAATCGGGTTATAACTCAAGATTTCGCTTATTAAAAAAAATTTCTTGCGAAATTTTGGTATACACTATTTCCCGCCTCATCCCAAGTTCACTCTTACCCAAACCTTAGATAGCACTTAACTTTTTTCGTTTATTCAAATTGTGAATTGCATATTACACGGATTTGCAGAATTAACACCAACAACGCCGACTCCACCAGAACGGCACGAAAATTACGGGTCACGTGATATAATCGATCGGTTCCAGCCCGCCGACCCACGACGGTTACGATCCAAAATTGGTGATTATATGGAGGTATAACTATATAAATTTACATTCTTGAGATCAAACTTTATCAATGTGCATTTAGAGAACAATTAGAAATATATTTGTAGAATTTGAGTATGTATTAGAGGATGTGTACTTATAAAGATGCTTTATTGCATTTATGAAGATTTTACTATAATTGATTTATTTTGTTTTGTTCAAAATATTTCTTATAAAAGTGACTCAAAATAACAATATAAGTATATCGGATTCAAAAAATTCTTACAAGCATCAGTATATTATTTTATAATAAACTGAATTATGAAATGAAATCATAATAATAGTTGGCATTTTATAAATATGACATTCCAATCTCAATTAAAATAACAATAAATAATGTGCTAGCATTTTTAGTCTAATAATTTTTAATCAAACTTGATTTATTATAATAATATGTTATAATTCTTTTCATAATATATAATATGCTGTTAATTATATAATTAACATTAATGCTATATTTAAATTTAATAGTGAAAACTTCTTGAAAATTCATTATATAGTATGATAATTTATGTTCGAATAATAATAAATTTGAACAAAATTTTTTTATAGTTACGAATCTTTGAAAATTCTGCTTAAATACATCAATGGCTTTAGTAAAAGTACATTAGCAAATTTATAATAGCGTAATTTTATGTAAGATTTTACAAACTATAATATAAGCAAAATATTTTGCAATATATTTCAAAATATTACGAAATATCAAATTTTCGCAATATTTCGAAAATAATTTCGAAATATTTCGAAATATAT